CTTTTGATTCAGTGCCGCATGAATGGCTTATAGATATATTGAAAATATATAAAGTCGATGATAATCTCGTGACCTTTTTGAAGCATATAATGGCAGAGTGGAAGACTAAAATTCACCTTCAAATACCTGGTGAAATTAATATCGAAACTGAAGATATCCCTATTAACCGGGGCCTTTTCCAAGGGGACTCGTTGAGTCCACTCTGGTTCTGCCTAGCGATGAACCCACTATCTCAGCTGCTGAACTCGACTGACTCAGGATTTAGCATCAAAAATAACAACACCGTTGTAGCGAAACTTAATCATCTGTTGTATATGGATGATTTAAAATTATTGGCTTCCACCCGAAATCACCTAGATGAGATGCTAAAAACTGTAGAAAATTTCTCAAATGACATCAGTATGCATTTTGGACTAGACAAGTGCCGTATACTAAATATAGTCAGAGGAAAGGTTCAGCCTGGAGGTTTCGATATGCAAGATGGCCAAAACATCGAGGCAATGGGTGAAAATGATATGTACAAATATCTCGGAGTAAAACAGGCGCGTAAAATTGACCATAAACAAATGAAAACGGAACTAACTTCGGAGTTCGTGCGAAGAGTAAGACAACTAAATCGGTCATATCTTAATAGTAAAAATTTGTTTAAGGCATTAAATACGTACGCCTGTTCTGCACTGAGCTACTCATTTGGTATTATAAAGTGGTCAAAAACGGATATAGAGGGTCTTCAGCGGAAAGTAAGAACACTTCTCACAAAGGCACAAAAACATCATCCACGTAGTGCAGTAGAGAGAACAACATTACCGCGGTATCAAGGGGGAAGAGGACTTATGGATATAGGTGAGCAATTAGATAAACAAATTGCTAATCTAAGACTTTATTTTCAGGTACAGGCTGAGACATCTACTTTACATCGAGCAATTTGCGCAGTAGATGATACGACGCCGCTTAAACTGAGGGAACAAGAAATGCGCATAAACCACCTGACTCAGCAAGAAAAAATGCGCACCTGGATGAGTAAACCTCTGCATGGGCGACATCTCAATGAGATCAACCAAGAATATGTCGACAATACAGCGTCGAACTATTTTTTGACATCAGGAAAGATGTTCCCCGAGACTGAGGGTTTCCTACTTGCCATTCAGGATCAGGTTATTCCAACTAAAAATTACCTGAAGTATATTGTTAAAGATCCTCAAGTCCAAAATGACAAATGCCGATATGGATGCCAAGCCCAAGAAACCATCCAACATCTTACCGGTGGCTGCCAGGCATTTGTCGGTACTGATTATAAAGAACGCCATGACTCAGTAGGAAAGATTATTCACCAAGAACTAGCTGACAAACTGGGACTTCTCCATACCGACCATCTTCCTTATTATCAATACGCTCCTGATAGAATGCTTGAAAATGACAACTACAAGCTATACTGGGACCGCACTGTGCTTACAGACCAACCAGTGGCCCATAATAGACCGGATCTCATACTAGTTAATAAACTTACTAGACAAACAACACTTATTGATGTGGCGATACCCAACACCAATAATTGTTAAATACAACGAAAAGATCGCCAAGTACAGAGATCTAGAAATACAAATCAGGAGACAATGGAGAATGGAAAGTACCCAGACACTACCTATTGTTCTATCTACTACTGGTGTTATTCCCAAAAACCTCCTAGCGAACATAAAACAGCTGGGTCTAAATGAACATCTTTATAAGGCCATGCAGAAAGCTGTACTCCTCGCGACGTCCAGATGTGTACGAAAATTTCTGGGAGATACTCCAATATACCAAGTCACCTAGGGCTCGATAACATGGAAAGAGTCCCACCAGAGCTCAATCCTTTTGATACCGTAGGTATCTGGGATGAGTGAATTTTCCCTTTAGAGGGAGTGTGAGCCGTATGGCTAAATCTGGGATAATAATAAGAAAGTAAATAATAAAGTCCCAAATCATCAATTTTGTAAAATAAATATGAATAAGTAATACTCTAGACTAATGAGGGTCGAAAATAGAAAGCAGTCAAACTGCTATATGGTAGTTCTAGGTGTATGTTACCATATCTTAAAAAGTAATTACGCTAAGTACCTATAAAACAGAAATTATAATCTTCAAATAGATCTAGGAAAAGTCATGAATTATCAAGTTTCTAAAACATTTATGAATAGGTAATACAGAGTGTCAAAAATGAAAAGAAGTCAAAATGACCGCTCTGGTGCTTCTAGTGATAAAGAAAAACAAACAACTTTTAAGTTGTATTTTCTACTTTGGGAAGATTTAAGTGATTTCCCAAAATTTTGAGATAAAAGGTGAACGATGATATAATACTATATGTAATAAATAAAAACAACAGGTACGTACAAAAATATTTATTTTATTTTTTAACACGCTTAAAACATTTAAAAACAACATACAAAAATATTTATTTGATTTTTTAACACACTCAAAAACAACATACAAAAATAATTATTTTATTTTTTAACACACTTGAAAACATTTAAAAACAACATACAAAAATATTTATTTTATTTTTTAACACACTTAAAAACTAAGAGTAAATATCAGACTTGGTCTCTACGTACAAAAATATTTATTTTATTTTTTAACACACTTAAAAACCAAGAGTAACTACAAACTCAGACTTGGTCTCTTATATAATGACGAACTAAACATAAAAAAACAATATCAAAACGAAAGTTATTAAATTTAAGTTGTACAGAATGTATTAATATCACTTATTCATATTCGATAAACTTTGGTAGTTCATAGAACATCAGAAGCCACGCTTAAGTTTTATAAAGTTTAAAAATGGTAAGATTATTTTATTCTCTGTATTTACTGCAGGCTTCTAATTGTTCTATAGTTTCATGTTAATAAATAGCTAGTTAACAACACAAGTGATGAAGTCACATTTTTTGATTATCTCTGTACTGAGAAAAAAATATTGATTTTTGAAAATGTCTGAAATGATTCAAGTAATAACAATCAATTTTTATTTTAACTCACTGTAAATTGATCTAAGTCAAAAAATATCGTCAAAGTTAGTCAAATTTTTCAAATATCTAATAGAAGTCAAGATCTTTTACAAAGAAGAGAGACACACAAACAATTATAGTACACCAGTACACCAGATCGAAGAGGAACGTCTAAAAATAAAACCAAAGATGAAGAGAAAATGTGTAACGCAAAATATTTTGAAGTCTTTATGGCGAAAGGTTGACAGAAAGTTACTAAAGAACAATTTTCAACATAGCAAGGAGGACGTTTTACCAAATGTATGGGATGATGGAAGTGAATATCAATGTTAACTACTAAAAAAAAATCTGATCAAACACGTTTTAGTTCCATTTTTGTAAAGTTATAACCATTTTTTGATAAAAGAAAACTGTTAAGTTCATTAGAATCCAAATGTTTTAATTAATATGGTCTATATCAAAAAAATCCTCTATGAAGACTTATCACAAAACAAAAACATAAAAAACGCGTTTTAATCATTATCTAAAAATGCTACTTTAAGTCGCAAAATGTTACTTGGATCATTTGTGTTCTTAACTAGCTTAACTAACAAACTTATAGACTATGAGTTAGTAAGCGTAGTAGATTAATAAAAATACTGAGTATACCACAAATTATCACAGTAAATATTTATTACCTGTTTGGTAGATCAGACTCATTTAATATTTTTCAAATATCAAATCTTAAGAACTGCTCTTAAGGAAGCTCTAGATTTATATCAACATATCTATATAACTACATAATAGTACATGAAAGAACACAAAGTTGAGCGAATTTAACAATGATAAAAAATTATTCCAGTTACGGAGATCCACTAAAATGTGGAACTTTCAAAAGGCACTTAATTGGACGATTTTAAGTTATGTTCATTGGCACGTTGCTTATCTAATCTCCCGTAATCAAATTATGAGGTCTAGGTCTGAGGTCAAAAAAAAGTGAAGTCAATTCTGGATGAATTGTAGGTTTTTTTCTCCGTACAACAGCTTGTTGTTTTATGGTTTCACATCTTACTTATAGACTCAATATATTTATAGTTACATTAACAAATAAAAAAATCACATAAATTCTCACTAAACACATCAATTGTGTCCATGACATACAGTAACGCGACAGATCGTAACCCCACAAATGATAGCGGCGACACTTCCTAACATTAACGGTTCATCAACTGTCTTAAGTTGGGAATTTCTAAAGATTTTTGGCTTAAATTTTATCTACTTACATGGAAATGGTAGATTATTTTTATTTTACACAATTTTCAAAATACATTTTTCCATTATGCAATATTCCAAATATGAAATTAGGTAAAAAATGTTCATCCTAATGGTTCGTTAAATTAATAAAAGTAATTTTGATTGCAACTATAATAAAAATAATTGGTTTCACATCAAACGATAACAAAAATACACAAAATACTCCAATTTTGACGTTACAAATATTATACTGTTACAAATAGTTGTAGTTACGAATCGTCGATGTTATGGATTTGCCCGTTATCACTTGTGGAGTTATCAATTTTCGCTTTATGACATGTCACAAAACCATTAAGTAGCTATTGGTACTGATATTTTAGAAAACAAACATTAATTAACAAATACTTACAGACTTGTATAGAGAGTATTGAGAGTTTGTATAAGGTAAAAATGTAAGTTGTTGAACTGAAAATGTATACCCTTTTAGACATACTAATACTAATAAACACACTAATACACATAAAAACACTAAAACGAAAAATAACTGGGTATGGTCTAAACCGGTATAAAATGTCATTCAACTACTTTGTCAGACTCTGTTATATTGTACTAATACAATAAAAACTTTAAAAGATAAACTTTAATATGTAAAAAAAAACCTTAGTATAATTAAAATCTAAATATTGCAATAAAAAATAAACATTGCAGTGAAATAGCTAGTATAGAGAGCTATAATCACCATCATAAAATTGCACTTTTTATTCATTTAAATCATTTTTAATTTCATTTAAAATCATTTAAAATTTCTTGGAATATCGATGTTAACTCAGGTGTGTTCATAACTTGGTTAACAAATTCGTAGAGGTAAGTAATCATAGCTAAAAAAAAAAAATAATCAATCATAAATAATTTTCCCATGTACAATACTACATTAATATTTTCCAATAGTTATAGGTTTTAAAATAACGTTTCAAATGTATCAGTTGATTTTTACCGGTACGCCATATACCATTTAAGTAGAATAAAAAATATAAACTCTATAGCGTGGTAAAATCTGCACTAGGCTGGATTTTTATTTGGGGTTGGGCACTTGAAAAGTACATATTTAGAAACATGTATGATTCGATGATGATTCGATTTAAGCAATTAAATTGTTTTTTAATCAAATAAAAAGCAGTTAGTAATTACTGTTTTCGAGCACGGTTTTTTTAATCAAATCTTGCCCTCAAGGCCTTTCGCTCCTATAGAGCGTTCCACGTTAAGAAAATAACATTGCGAAGATAATAGGACCGTGTATGATGCCACGACAAACACGAACACGATTCAGGGTTGTATTATTTGTATTTTAGTTTCCACAGACATGAATTAAATTGTTAATTGTAAATTGTCAATGTTTTTTAACGTAATTGGCCAAAAATGCCTGTTCGAAACAAGAGATGAAAAAGTAGGGAAAATGATTTTAATTAAATAAGATAATTTTATTTTATATTATTTTAATTATAGTAGTAACAACAGTTTATTTATTTTTCGGTGAGAATACCATATGCCACGAATCATGGAAATTGGTAGAAAATATTTCTTAACTAAATCTTAATCTAAGTAAAATAAATTTTGCCGGCTATTAAACGGACCGCTTTGCATATATCTAATTTTGCAACTTAAAATAATACGGTGTGCATGTCAGCGATTTTATGTCGTTCTCTGACTACATAATGATAATAAGGCTTTGCGGTTCTTTAATAGGAGGAGTAAGGCCCATAGAAAACGTACCAAAAGTAGAGTGAACAGCAGAAAGTTCACTTACGATGCAGTAGTTCGTATGCAGCTACGTGCCTTCTGAACGAGATTGAACAAAGTTTTTGCACTGGTTAAAAAAGACATAAGATTTAGCAAACATGTCACGCACAACAATGTGGAGAATACTCCATGAAATGAACTTTGTTTTTTTTTTAACGAGGAGTCAAGCATGATTGAACGGCTCGATATTCTAAAATGGAGGCACCAGTATTTGCGTGAGATAAAAAAATTTCGTTCTCAAGGATACACCGTCGTTTATTTCGACAAAACTTGAGTGAATGTTGGACATGTTTCCAAAGAATGCAAGGACCTCTCGGTGACTTCAACCAGGGATGCGTTTGTTAAGGGGTTGTCAACAAGCCTAAAATAGCTGACACAACGAGCCCCTCGATTTGTTATAGTGCATGCGGGTAGTGAATTGGGCTTTGTAGAAGGTGCTGCTTTTTGGTTTTTAGCTAAAAAACTCAGTGGACTATCATGATGAGATGGATGGTCCTATATTTGAACAATGGTGTAGAAAAGCTGCTTCCTAATCTTCCAGAGAAAACTGTTGTGGTTTCGTACCATTCAAGGCGACAACAAGTGATTCCGACATAAACCTTCAATGATGATCAAATTAAGACGTGATTGTTAGAGAGAAAGATATCTTTTTTGAAGATTATTTAAAATCAGAGCTCATCGAATTTGTAAACACATACAAAGAAAAATACATAAAAAGACATTGAAAAAAGAAGGAAAAAAAATACATAAAAATAAGTTGTAAAATTTCATATACTTCAATTAGCCACGAAACTTCCCTTTGCCCTAAGACTAATTGTTGATTTTGTATAGTTAATTCGGGGTCACTGAATTTAAATCTGAAATCGAATTGATTCTACATACTATTTTCCTTATATTCCACGCTTTAATTTTCCAAATGATATGCTCATTTGTTTCTACTTGATGTGTGTCTATGCTTTTCATTCTTTGATTTAATTTATTCGTGTCCGTTATCATCGCCAGGGTTTTGCCAGTTTTGCCTTTGTCACATGCCTTGTTTTTTGCCACAAATTGTCTCCGTTTTTCCTACTTCTTTTCCTTTTTCACTAGTCCCCATTTTTTGTATCCCAATATTTTTAAAAATGCCTTTCTTTTCCATCTCCATTTCTCTCTGTCTACTACTATAGTTTTAAAACCTACTTTTATCGTTGTTCCTGAGTTATTTATATTTTTTAGGATCTTAGGATTTTTGGTTGTTAGAGACAATTTATGAATACCTTTTCACCCTTTAACTTTTCAGCAGATAATTTTTTCTACATTTACTTCCTCGTTAAGATGTACTCTTATCAAATTTGCCTTATCTTCTTATTTCTCTTTATCTTCATCAATCTTTAATCCAGTTACTATATTTATTTTCCAATCTATTTTACACCTCATTTAGACGTTGCTATGTTTTTCTAATTACTTGTTTATTGCCAGGTCTGAATTTTTAAATTCTCTTCTTTATATTCTGTTTTCTTTCTCTTAGCACTTTGTACATTTCTCTTAATAAGTGTGCATCACCTACGTTCTTCTCTCTTTCGGCTAATGGAATTTTAATATATTTTTACTCTTCGTAAAGGGAGATTTCTTTTAATTTTCCATTAATCTGACGAAATTTAAAATTATATAATACGTAAAAAATAGAAATTTTTAATGACAAAAAACGTTAACTTACAATTTCATATTAAAATCAGCAACCTCGAATTACTTATATTTACACAGAGTAAGAGTATAAATACAACAAATTTTCAGTTCTAATCTAAAAATTTAAAAACCTTATCACTTACTTGCGTCGGGTAAGCCCATAAAAGATATCATAGCTCTCATAGCTGATTTTTTAGCAGCTATAATTTTGTTAAATTGATCGTTGGAAAGTCCATTTGGTGACTCTTTAAATGTAGCTCTCATATAATTTAGCCAGTTGGAATTCTCCAACTCTAAAACAAAAAATTTATACTTTTAGTTCAAATAGAAGTTGTGCCCATCGAAAGCAAAACTTTCAAAAATAAAGAATATTAATTATTAGAATTAGTAATTATTAGTAAAATAATTTTTATGATTGGATTTAAAGCAGTTCTAAGCAAAACAAAATATTCAGAGGATATAAAAAGATTTCAGGGCTATATTGCCGACGCGACGTCGTGTATGGAATACATAGTCATAAAAGTAATAAATGGAATAGAAAACAATAAGTGATAATATGTACTATAGCACAAATTAGACCAGAAATAATATATCAACAAGAACAAGCTATTTTTCCTGTATTATTAAAAACATGTTAAAATGGCTTTGAAACGCGAAAAAACTTGTACAGTGTCAAAAAAGTGGAATGTGCAGTGGAAGCTCATCAGGCTATGAAACATTAAAAAAAAGTATACAGATATGGTAATAATTTACTACCTAATTATATGATACAATCGGTCTTCTCTAGCGGTTCCAAAGATTACTTATTCATTTAAGAACTAGGTCACATAGCAATGTCACAAAAGTATACAAGATGACGGGAGTACACAGACACCATCATTATACTCAATTAGATCAGGATCAATCAGATCTGACCAAAAAAAAAAAATGGAACAAGCAGTAGATGAGGCTCCTATGGGAGTTTCAGACTTCTACAGTTCCATAAAAAAGCGTTTAGCACAGGGACTCTGTGGGTGACAGAATATACCAGAAAATGGATTGTTGATGTAGTGAGGACTACATCAACGCTACTGTTCATGGAAGTGGATACCAGATGTAGATTTCAGCTAAATAGAGTACTCATATTCAAACCTATTTTTCCAACTTCATTGAAACAGTTTTTAGCAGATGCTCGAGGTTTGGCAGATTATTGCATAAAATTAGTGTGATCTGCATAACTGATATTAATTAGTTTTAACAGATCCTCTAAATACTAAATGATTAATAAATAGTTTACAATAAATTTACATCTTAAAAAAATCACTTACTCTTTGCAACCTGATCAGGGTACTTTTCTGTCAATTTAGTTATTATATTGTAAATTATGATTTGAAGGTCATGGCTTTCCATATCATATTTTAAAGTAGACTCCACCTGGTTAATTAAAGTATGTTTGTTAAGTTTATTATAAAAAGTATTTAGCAAATTAAACAGGCATTCATACGCTGCCTTTCTCACTTCTAAATAATCGATTTGTGATTTCACAGTTGGCTGAAAAATAAAATTTGGAAATTATTAAATAATTCTTAACTTTGCTTATGCATATCTTAATTGTTTGATCAAGCAAGAACCAGTAAGAAAACATAATGAGTGTTAAAGAATGTTCCCAGCAAATAGGAAAAGATATCCAAAAGTTGTAAATCTTTAATTATCTTCCGGTAATATTGGTGACATTTCACTCGCCCATGTGTTCCAATACAAAACACACACTGGAGATCTAAAATCAGGGTCTACAAGAATCGGATCTACAGATATGTTATGGATGCGATATGTCTTTAAAAGAAAAATCCTAAGGAAGATATTTAGTTCTATTAACTAAAACGGAGTATGGATGTCGAGGTACAATCATGAACTTTACCAACTGTTCAATCATTATTCGTCAAGACTTCGATGGACTGGTAGTGAGGATATAGACTGAAAATTGCCTAACAGAGCCCTACATAGTAAAATGTAGAAGAAAAATGTTTTTTCTTCTTAAAGAGAGGTTTGACAAAAATAATGACTTACCAACTGCCATTTATAAACAAGGAATTCCACAAGATTGATAGAAACACTCACAAGAAGGGATTCGAATATGACAACAATATGCATGCAAAGGACTTATGAGAAAAATTGAAAAGAATAGGAAACAATTACATTAACAATATTCAAAACAACGAACACACTCTGATCTATCCTATCTAAAACCAAACCAAAACACACAAGAATCTACATCTATAAAATACTCTGTGAATGCAACAATTTCTATGTGGGAGAAATCTCAAGACCACTAAGTGTCAAGATAAACGTGAGTGAAACATCAAGAACAGAGATCCCAGATATGCAAACATGCCTGGGATAATAAGCAGAGTAACTGAAAAGGCACATCATCAATAATCATGAAAAAGAGACAAGAGTCAACAGACATGAAAAAGAGGAGTCAAAGAAGCAGCTCTCATCCTACTGAAAAATATGTAGCAAACCCATCAGCAGATGGGTTTTCCGATGGCATTGTTCCGATGGAACAATGCCATACAAAAAGTGGCAAGTGCCCGGAAAGTGGCGTCCATACAATGCAAAGAGATCAAGAGGCAGATGATGAGGCACAGATAAGGTGGAAAGATGACATCAGGAAACAAGGAGGTCCCACATGGCAGAAAACAGCTCAAGATAGGGAAAGATGGAGAGAACTGGGGGAGAGCTATATCCAACAATGGAAGGATAGAGAATAGGTTCAAAAAAAAAATTAATATGCACTTACCTTTAAGGCAACCTGTTGATAGATTATATCTAAATAATTGTCGAGTTGATCGTTAACTAGTGATGGCTTATTTTGAACAACTCTAGTAAATGCTTCTAGCGCAATTCTTCTTACATGTAAATTTTGATCTTGCAAAGTGGCTAGAAACTCTCCAATACATTCAGGTAATAAGTCATCGATCGGGTGAGGCTAAAAAATAAATCCAGAAGATAGTTAAGTAGTTATATCAAATCAATTATATGCTAGAAATAGTATCAAAAAAATATTGTTACATAAAAAAACTTCATTAGTAGGCCAATCAAGTTGGTTAGTTAGTAAATAAGCCTCTTTTATCACAAGTTGACTGGTTGTCAGTTGAAATGCGGAATATAAGATACTACAAAAGACATTCATTAACTTTTTAGTGGAACTATTTTTAAATAAACAATCAAAACGTCGAATCAGTTATTTTGCCTGATAACTTAAAAACTTTCTATTTAGAGATTTGACACATAATAAAAAGCAACTTAAGAAAAAGATTGTACATCTCGTAGTCATTAGCTGCTTTGTTTTGCATAATTTTGCAATGAAAATACGAGAATTGTTATTATTGTATTGGTTTAAAAAAAAAAGGAAGAGCTAATTTAGTCCAGTAGAACCCGAGATGTCATTTATTTTCTAAGCGCTCTATTTTGAAACTGTTGGATTTCTTGGAGAGCGCGGCTGGCATTTGAGTCGGCTACCAACTTTTACTCTAATCGGAACGCAAAGTATTCTTTGCGTTCCGAAAAGAATATATTTTAGCGAACTTTTTTTATAAAAGATCTAGGAGATCTAGATCTACATCTAGACCTAGACTTAAAAGTAGGTTTTTTTAACAAAAGGATTTTTAATCAGATTTCCGAATAAATATGTATTTTTTGCAGTTTAATTTGAACGAAATTCTACAGAGTTATTGTAAATGTTCATAACCTTAAAACGTGCACATATAGTATACATTTGTAGTATACATTTAAACACATTGTAATAAATAACAAAAAAATTATTAACAATATTAAAAAACAACGATTTTGTTCTTCATTTTTCAATAAGTTTTTTGTTTATTAACCAATTTTAAGTTAGCACATCTCATTTTGTGTATCTTTTTTTTTTCAGAAAAAGTTGTCTGTTGACAACTCTCTATAATAATTTCACTAAAAAAATTGACGAATCCCTAGACGAGTCTTCTTGTAATATCGCATACTACAGACTACAAACTACAGACTTCAACAGCCAAACCAGTCTATACACTTGTGTCTAGTAAGAAGTATTATTATGTATTTATAAGAGAAACGATATCCAAAAAAAAATCTTTTGTCTAAGAATTATTTATAATATATTATAATAAAACTGCCAACATGAAAGATATCCAGTTGAAAGAACTACCTCGATAGATAAAATATTGAGACGTCCCAGTTGTTATCTAAATTTCGCACAAGTGCTGGAATAAAAGGCATAATTAGTCAACAGAGTGTATCTTAATAATATTAGATATGCTGAAAACACAGTTTCTGCAGAAAACTTAGGGATTAAAAAGAAAGTCATGCATGTCAGATATGTTCTGTGCCGGGCACTAGAGTTCCTAGTAATAATGCAGGAGTTCCTAGTAATAATGTGAAAACTGTAATATACATGCAATTCGAAACTAGTGTAAATTGCATGTGAATATATAAGTATTATTTTATAATAATTATTAATTAATCTCTGGATCAAGTAACAGCGAAATTCAAACGTGACAGTCATTAACCAGTTAGGGCATGTGTAGGGCAACAAGGCCGAAATGATAAGAATCTAATATGAAGAATTGCTGACGATCAAGTTTCTGGAACGAATAGAAGAGGAAGATCACGGAAGGTGGTAGGGGACGGTTAGATGTATGTGAAGTAGATGGGCAAGATATAAATTTTAATTAGGGAGAAATGTAATTACGGAAGCCAAGTACGGATAAAGTGAAATAAAAATGAAAAAATATTGTCAAATGTCACACTAGAGTTCAATCCTTTTGATATCGTAGGTATTTCTGATAGGTGAATGGAGAAATGAGAGCCATATGACTTAAATCTGGAATAAACTTACCTGATCAGTAATCATTAGTTTAAAAGCTCTCATCACTGAAGCTCTGGTTAACGAAGACTCAGATCTTAGTACATATTGCCATAATGGCAATATAATCCTACCATTTATTAATGTTAATTTCCCCAAAATATATGCAGCGAGGTTTCTGACTTCTTCTTCGTCACAACAGCAGCGTTCGCATAACTGTTGGAAAATTGGAATAGCAAATGGTATTATATGGGGTATTCTATAATCAAATTTTAGGAGTCCGTCTACTAGCTACAAATAAATGAACAGTAATTTATATTTTGTAATAATGTAATTTGCTTTTAGCAAAGACTTGCTATTGCTGTGATGAAATAAATATATGGCATTGGAGCACAAATTAGTCACTTTTCACGTCTGAATCGGAATCACTATAACAGTTATTCCAGTATCTATACTTCCGTCAGCAGTTCGAGCTGATCCCGATGCAAACCAAAAAGTCTAATATCTCCTCTTGAACCTTTTGGGGAACCTCATGCAAAAAAGTCTAATGAAAATTCGCCTTGTCTATATGAAGTGTGATATGGATAATAGAAAAATAGGTCTAATAGAAAAAAAAAAAGATGAAAAAATTTAGTAGACAAAAAGAACATTCACATTGAGCTCAACTAATTTTGCAACGACTCCACGTTTCTTGATTTTGGTGGCTATTAAATTCCATATTAGTTAACCACAAAACTGATAATGAGAAAAACAAAGTAAATTGTGGACAATTTCGTTGGCTCGTTAGATTAAAAAAAAAAAAGAAAAAAAAAGTTTATTACCCATTGGCATATAACAAGCATGTGCCTACAACAATAGAAAAGAAAAAACAACTGATGGACTATGCAACTTAGTACTATAGGTACATGTAAAAACAAATTTCAAGTAGATTATTACTTTAAACATCTGTAAAACAATTGCATTTTTTGTAAAATTTTTAAAGTGTTTTTCTCATTTTCGCCTTTTATGACTTCTCTCTTCTCTCTCTTCTTTTACATGAATTTTATGTAAAAGTTTATTCACAATCTTACAGATCTTAAAAATTCGCAAAATGGTAAAATGAAAGGTTATATATTGGTGATTGGAGACATTTATCCCTAAGATTTATATCTCTAATAAATAATCCATGTCATAATATATTACCATAATTACTCAAACAACAAATAAGTGAAAATATTAAATAATATACATACCTCTCGTAACGAAACCAAGAAAAACAAGTGTGTTTCAGGTTCTCGCCTAGCTTCTCCTTCTAAAATAAATGGTAAATAACTTGAAACGTTGCAAATACAAATTTTGCCAAGCGCAATACTTGCAAGTTGTTTAATTTCATCGGATTTAATGAAAAATAATGCGACGATCAGCCAATGTAAAGGTTTTGATATTTCCCTACAACAGAAATTAACATAACGTTTAAATGTGATATTTCATCGCCTAGGAGGTTGATAGGACTAATCCACAAATTTTTCAAGTCAGAGATAAGTAAAGGAAGGAAGTAAGGATCACACATCTTACGGAAAATGTAATGTTACTCAAATGCAATAAAATTTACATATTCGTCTTGAAATTACAATCATTTCATATCATTACGTCAAGTCTCAATTTTGATTAATAAGAAATTAATCAAAAAATCAAATAATAAAATAAATCAAACAAAATAAAATAAAAAGTAAATTGATATAAATCAATCCAAAATCAAATGGATATGGTTAGGATACGAAACGAGATTTGTCAGTCAGTCAGTCCATAAATCTTTTTGCACATATTAAGACAAAGTACCACTAACAAAAAACATTACAATTTACGCAGTTATTCATCAAAATTCTGAGATGGCGGTACATGAATTGTAATTTCGAAACGAATCTAATTACGTAAATTTTATTGCATTTTAGTGACATCACATTTTCCGTAAGACGTGTGCGATCTCCATTCTCAAAAGGTATCATATCATCTAGTAAGGTATTTTGTAAATAGCTACTAGCATTTACTCGTTTAAAAATGCTTTGAACAAATTTTCTCATTGTGGATTAAGCATATTTATTGACTTCCCCATTTTATTAATAGAAAAAAATGTAAAGATATTTATTGCTTGATATTTTTTTGAGTATGGTATTACGCATGTTCAATAATCCAGCTCACGAGTTATAACCAACGCAGATAGTTATAATGTTTCACAATTTAGTCGCGGGATATATCACTTATCACAGATTGGGACTCGTGGGGTGTAATCATCAGCATTCTCAGCGTATTCTACCGATTATGGTGTAGCCTCCCTTTGATATTTGTTCTTTATTTCTACAACCGATTGTCTAATATTCGATTTTCTGTGCCATGTTATACCGGCTTGTTTTCTTATACCCCATCTTAAACCTTAAACTTGGATTTCTTCTCTCTTGATGCTTCTTTGATACCACAGTGTAATTCTGGTGGACCAGTTCTTCTCGCTAAATGCCCCCCGCCCCCCACTGACATTTTAAAGACTTTGAGGATTACATCAATGCCCTCGGTTTTCTGTCATTCTATTTTTTTTCGATCTCTCTTTGTTATTTTTTTTTATTTTTTGTTATTTCATTAAGCGATGCAGGGCATATAAACAACGATAAATTTAACAGATAAATGTTAAAGATGTTCCAAATGAGTTTTCTTTTCTCAAATATTCGTGTTTATTGCATAGTAAATAAATTAATGTTATCACTGAATACATAGTAAGTGAAAAAAGAATATTTTATGCATAAATGTTCTTCAGTTCTTCAGAAATATTTAAAAACTAACCGAAACTAATCTTTATTTCGTCTGGCGACGTTATCGGCAGCTCATACCGGTTCGGGCACGATTTAATCTTCCTGCATCGCTTAATGAATTTTATGTATCGCTCCATTGACCTTTGAGTGACCGAGTTTATCTCTTTCTTTAGTGATTATGTTGAGGTATGTTTCGCAGCTGTATGTCATAATTGGTACAATGCTTTTTTTCCTCCAGGTGTAGTGGCATCCTCGATTTGAATATAACTGCATTTTGACAAAAGATGCATACAACACATATAAATATATATATTACTATAAAATGAAGCAAATGAATTGCAAGCTCTTCTATCTACAACTGTAGATGGTAAATCAAAAACTTTCGTGAGAAAATGAGCTGTTGAAAACTCTATTAAAAAAAAAAAGAAGTTCATTTGTCTGCGGATCTGTAATAGCACCCTTTAAAACTGTTTTTCATTTTCAAAGAACAGAGTAAAAAATTTTCAAGCTGATAAAGCCTTTTTCTCTGGTATAACTAGGGACAAAATATCGAAAACATTTAAAAACTTTCATTTGAACAAAATTACCATATTCAAATATTCAAAGTATATATATATATATATATATATATATATATATATATATATATATATATATATAACGTCTTCATATCAAGGCGAGATCCGATTAAATCGAGGACAACCCGAGATCCACCAATAGGAAATTAATTAATGGAGTATATTGTTCATAACTATCTTTATAATTAACATATTAATCATGGCACACTTAGAGGGGAAAAGATTTTTGAACTTAAATTTTTTTGATAAATTTACAACAAAAAGAGATCCATAGCTGAAAAGGGAAGGGGAAGACTTATATACGAAATTTTAGATATTTACAGATCAACGCGAGATCAGACACTGTTGCCAGCTCTAAAGAGGATTAGTCGAGCGACCGGAGCTCGTGTTGTATTGCATATTTCCTACTCAAACAGTAAAGTAATTTGCGGTTATGGTGATTTGTATTTTAAAAATATTGCAAGGGCAGCGGTCAGTTGAAGTAGTGAAACAAAATTCAAAGATAACAGAAGCTAAGTAATGATTATAATTTTTATGTATATTATTAAATAATTCAACATAAACTTTATAAACCGAATTACTAAAATGCTCTGTTTTATTGAATTTGTGAAATCTATTCTCAAAGCTATTTTTGTTTATTATTTATGTACAAAATTAAAAAGGGGAAATTATTTAAACTAAACAGTTTATCTGTACCTATAACAAAAGATATCATTTTAACATTCTAATCGTGTTTTAACATAAAAATATTAGTTTTGTACAAGAGTAAATACAATTCCATACTGAAGAGTAAAAATAAGACTGGAAAAAGGCTGTTAGAATAGATTTTGGTGGGCACTTTGTTGCTAAAATGCAAAACCTATTTTTATTCGTTTCTAATATCTTTCTAATGTAAAATCACTTGGTCGTCCAAAAATCGTAGCGCGAGGGGAGTGGTGGAGAGCCTTACAAAAAAAATTCTAATTTGTTTTTTGTCATTTTTCGGATCTACGATATCCGAAAATTCATTCTTCAAATTTGCATATCGATCCGGACATTAGAAATAATTTTATTTTATTTATAAAAATACGTCAAACCATTGTTGTATACGGAGTGCCTTCATACAAAATGACTTAGAATAAGTCTGAAAACCCATATTTTTAAAATCGTTTCTCCTCGCTCTACCCGAAAAATATTGGGTCTAGCAAAAAATGGCTTTCTATAAAAGTTATAGGCCAAACATCAGAGAACATGTCGGTTTGTTTAGAATGTCGATTGGATAAATAGTTTAAAAAAATTAAATAAATTGAACGGCATGTCACGACGCACAGTGGCAAACGCAGAGATGCGAGGAAGGGCGAGATTCATAATCTGAAGTCAACCTTAAATCGACTCTAGTGATGGCGATGTTGTTAGGGTCGATTTTACATTGAAATTCTGTTGTGTTGTATATTCGATTGCGAAAGTGCATCATTGTGCATTTTTTTTACTAATAGCACGAAATCCACTGAGCTGAGATTTTTAGTATTAGAAGTTTTAAATTATTTTAATGAACAGCAGCAGGTATGACAGTGAACTTGAGTCAAAAATCAGATTACGGCATATTTCTTTCCGTAAAGTCCATTTCCATTTTAGTTTGCTGAAAGAAGCGGAAACTGGAGAATACATTTTTGTTCTAGTTTTAGAAAAATGTACCCCTATTTCTTTGCATTTGACCATGTGAACTATTCTTTTTGGGGAACATTATATTTGTTGGACATATACAAACTTGCTGATAAGGCTCCAGAATTACATGAAGAGTTTATGAGAAGAAATTTTGTTGTGAAAAGTTTGAACAGCAACTTTAACCAACTATTTGTAGATCCAGCTTGAAACATATAAATACAACTCAAAAGATGCAGGAGGAATCGTGGGATTGACTAAAACCAACACAAATCTAGACGAATGGTTGTTAAGCTACAATATGATTGGCATGATGGTAGATGAATTTCGTGCATCATGAGACTTAAGCAACCACTTAACTCAAAACGTAGAAAATAGAAAAAAAAATAAACAGATGAAAATTAATGAATATTCTGTACAAAAACACATGATCAGTTTTTTACGATTTAATGTATTTTTCAAAAGCGTAGATCGTCTTCTCGTAATTTCAGCTAATGAGATTGCATTGCCAAATATTCAAATACCCTTACTTAAATAAACAAAAAAAAATGGAGAAGAGTCTAGCAAAATTTCTTCTTACTGTTAGAGCTCCCAATTTTTATCAGCATACAAGAAGTACTTTCAACACTTCCAACACTATAAAACTGTCTCTGAAAAGAAAAAATTATTCAAGCTGAACAAGAGCTTTTACAAAAAATACTAACAACCAAGGCAATTGAAAGTAACATAAATATTATGAGAATATTTTCAAAAATGAATTTACAGCACATCCAATGTCACTTGTACCTGTAAGAGTTTTAACGATACCATCAAATAAATCTGCCTTAGGTTCTATAATAGGACAGTTTACAGTTATGTCTAAATATCTACCATTACCATTATAAAGTAACAAAAGTGTCACATTCTTGAAGGTATGAGCAAACTGCAAATCATTTGGCGACTATGCAAGAATTTTAAAATCAATAGTGTTCAAGAACCTCTACAACCCTAAAAGGATTGGTTTTGTATTTGACCAGTACTAACAATCTTTGTACTGGTCCATATAAACATATAAACATTCTCCTACTTTAGACAGTATAATATATAATATTCGTGTACATACTCATCCAAACGAAGGTATGAGTATGTAGCCTGACACCAAGATTGTGACTGCCGAATCTGTTGCTGCTAACTGGCTGGAGTAAAGAAAATGTAGAGCTGGTACCAGTTTTAAGCAGGGAATCCAAGTTGAAGAAACATGCATACATATACTATACTACTAATAGGTGTAAAAGATGAGTTTATTTTTACCTTTTTGTGACGAATAATTATTATATTGGTTTTTTAAATTATCAGACTGTACGGGGGCTCAAATACTCGAGTAAACGGAAACGAGATCAAATTCATTGATTCTTGTAAATATATTATGGCCCAAGTGAAATGTTACAAA